GTGATCTCCAGACAGGACACCCAGGTCCTGAAACAAATGGCATCGCTACGAACGGAGCGATCGGACGCTTTTTCACTGTGACACCGTGCCCTGGTGATATGCAGGTGGATCATCTGCAGGTTTTGAAAAAAAAAGGGACTCCCCAGGCTCCAACGTGAACAGCTGGAACGTTTGGGTCAGATTTTTCTTCCAGCCCAGACTCTCATGGACTTTCGTAGAGGCGGGACCCTCAATATGGAGGGTTGGTTGGACCCTCAAATTAGCGACTGAAATTTATATCCAGAGACCAGAGACTCCATGCAAAACTATTTGCCTACTAGGTCCGTCCGTGAGTGCGGGCACTCCTATCCTCCAATCCTCGCACCCCCAACACGGAACTGCCGATGCCATGGTCCTGAACCCCCCCGATGCCAGTTCCACCTATGGCCAGATCAGCTCGGTCAGCTGGCTGTACAGCGATGTTCCCATGGGCCCGTATGGGATGCAGGTCCCCACGGACGAACAAGGTCCATTTGGGCCATCCGGAGCGTCTTCGGTCGTGCTTTCCCCATTTGGGTAGGTGGGGCCTGGCCTCCATCCGACTGCCAGGATTCTTGCAGGCGGTCTATAGATGGTGGAAATGCCCATGTTGGGTTTTCACCTGATAGTTCTACCTGGACCCTCCGTTCGATCGCTGTTTCCCTATAGTGACTACATGATCTACATGCGGCAGGTCCGGAGCTTTTGTTCACCAGCACCGACTACCGCACTTCTTCCGGTCCAGTCCATACTGCAGGCCGTCCATCCTATACCCCCCCCTAGGTCTCCTGGCCCATCTCCTCAGCTTCGGTGGAATTCGACCCCCCCTGGCATCCACCCACCCCCATCGACCACCTGGCAACGGAGGTGGGCCGGGAGCCCCACCAAGGGCACCCTACCGGCTACTCAGTCTCGTCTCCGAGGCACTACCCTCACAGAGCCTCCCACGGAGGCGTGACGGTAGACGCGGAGGTGGAAGGGAACACACCCGTTCCGTGCGGGGCGCTCGTCCGACATCGAAAACGGAAAAACACCAGGACCAAGCCCGGAATCGTCATGAAGGGGGGCCTGATTCTTGAAGGGAAGGGAAGAAGTGGACTGAGAGTGGAGGACATTTGTGCATTCAAAGCTTGGAAGTGTTGTTTGGGACTTTGGGAACCCCCGTCTTTTCAAGACGTCTTGGGGGGGTAGTGAGGGTTTCTGCCATCTGAAGCCACCGTACTACCCTTTTTTCGGATGGTCGAACGGAGCTTGACGAATCAAGTGACGGAACTGGACCCGCTTGACTGGAGTTGCATCCAACGAACGTGGCAGGAAGGAGACAGACCAGGCAAAGAAAAACGCTGTGGTGTTCTCATGGCACCTCCAATTCACGCTTTATCACGCTTTGAACTACTCTCAAAACTGATCCTCTTAGACATCCTAGACCAGCTATAGTACTATTTACGCTATTTATACTATATACGTTCCTTTCGTATGCCCTTAGACCCGGCAAGCCCTGCTTCATAAGGGATTTTCTCTACTAACCTGAAACCCTAAAGGTTGGACCATGTTGAACCCTTAGCAGAAGATCTAAGTTACAGCAAGGGGATAATTAGAGGATCATCTACCAGGTGGTAGGCCTCACAGCTGGCCTCCTTGACACCTGCCGGAAGAAGACCTGAGGGTGTCTCTTTAATAGGGAGACCTCCCAGGCCAGGCACTCCTCCCCTGCACGAGCCTTACTATGGAAGGGCTATAGGCAACGCAGGACCTTCAAGGTGCTGAAATGTGAGGCCACTTCATTAGAGACTCCGAAGAGGTCAAGAACTGAAGGTCAAGAACTGTGCTGTGCCATTTGTGCTGGGTACATTTTTGCGAGCTTTGATCACACACCGTGGGATCGGAATCTTTGAAATGCCACGGAAATCTGACTCAACGCCTGGTGGAATCAGACATTCGAGAAAGAAAGCAGCTATTTGAGGCTATTTGTGAGTTCCAAACGGATGAGTGAGACTGAGAACACCTCGAGAAACCTCTATTAGAGGACCCCTCTAGACTAGACTAGAGAACCCCTCATACCCCTTCCCAAGAAAGCCCTTCTCCGTAGGCTCTGAAGACCGGTTGGCAGACAGTCTTGCAAGCTGTGGAGAGCTACAACCTGGCGGGACACACCCAGACGGCCTTTTGAGCGACTTCTTCTTCTTCTTTTTGGAGGTCAAAACCCATCTCAGGTGCAGTTTGGTAAGGAAAGATTGAAAAGCTGCGGCTAAGACATGGCCATCACTTGGAGAAAAAAAACACAATGATGTACGAAGCACACGCAATCGTTCAGTGACCTTTAAGGCCATATTAAATGCTTCTATGAAGCTTTGTTGAGGCGAGGCCTGATCCTGAAACAGTCTTTCGAGGTTTGTTTCGAAGGACGACTTCACCAGTGAAAACACCTGGGACCTGTGTGCAGCTCCCATCAAGTCCTCAGCATCGCTGCGGCCGGTTAAACCTCAGACCTCTCTGTCTGTGTATGTTCCTGGTTGAGTCACGTTCGACGGAGTGGACCCCTCCATGAAGTCGGGGTGCCCCTGTCACACCCACTCACTTAGACTTATAACAGTAGGGACCAAAAACCAACCCCTGCCGTCTTGTGACTCCTGGTACAGCCAGTTGACTCACCAAACAAAACCCGTTGGTCAGAACTCGGTTCCAGGAGTTGGGTCGATCCATAGGTCGATCAGAAACCGAATCACCCAGAGAGGTCAGAGAGGGTTGAACATGGACTGAATCTTAACGTGATTGAGCAATTTTATGGCATAACAGCCAAGAGTGTATAGTCATGTTTCGCATGTTTGTGTCTTTCATCTAGTGAATCTAGTGTGTTTCATATATATATGTTCTATTTAACTTAATTGAACACCACCATAGTAGCGTTACCAGAGCATTTTACTTTGTTGAAACAGCACTGTATTTGGAAGATGCATTGCCACCATTCCAAGATTGATATGGCATTCGTGCCGTACCCAAGAATGTAGCATATGACATAGCATCATCAGGCTGTTCGAGACAAAGAAGCTAGGCGGAAGAGTTAGTGTAGACTCTTGATTGACTCTTGATTATTTTTTTCAACCCCGTATATGAGGAGGTTATGCTTTATTACAATCCAAATGGAGGGGTGGGGTTCTTCATAAAGAGTACATTTTCCACGGTGCCCCCGGGTTAGAAGCGGCCTCCGCGTGTTCTCGCCTCGCCGCTTCTGAAGCTCGCTCGCCTCGCTGCGCCGGCTCGCACCGAGGGCCAACCCAGTTGCAATCCCAACGCCTTCCTGGTCTTGGGCTCGCCTGGAAGTGGCAAGTCGGGGGGACCCGGGCGGTGATCGTGTTTGTGTGTCGGTGATCGGATTGATCGGAGACTTTTTGGTGACGCAAGACATGGTGCGGATCATTTTTTAAGACTTCTGTTGTTTTTCAGAGTACATGGGAAGAAGAGAGTGGCGACCTCCAGCTCTAGTCAGACGAAGCTTGGGGTTTCCAAGGGGAATCAGAAGGGATTTCAGCTTAATATAGGGATCAATAGGGATCCGATGCAAATTTTGTTTAGGCAAAAAGAGGGGGTGAAACATGTCCAATGAGATGACGTCATTCTGGTGGAGATTTTACCATGTGTCACCCGACATTTCAATGCCTTTCATAAGAGCGTCTGTATAGGCAGCACTTATGAAACCATGCTGGAGTACCGCGACCTGGGTGGGTTGTCAGGACTTCCTAGCCAGGACAAGCGGATCAACCTGCAATGCTTTTGTGGGGGGATTTGCTTCGCTGCATGACATGAACAGTTGGAGAGGGGCAACCTTCATTGTCCGGCTGAGAGAGTCAGACTTAGAAGGTTTGTCCTTTGGTTTTCTTGTTCCTCTGAGTCTCAAAGTCGTCTCCAAAGTTGCCGCAAACCTCTAAAACGGTGGACCAGCGATTGCACCAGCATGAGATGTAGACCAAACTGTTCTTTGATGATTGCAGGGTGCTTCAAGCACACGAAGTTAATCCCTCAAACCTCCTGACACGAAGTTTCATCACTTCTTTGGCACGTGGCAAGACTCCAATCTACTAACTAGGGCTCTTGCGCTACTGGGAGTCAACTGACGTTCGGGCACGTTGGGGATTTCTTCCTCGAAAGGGTCGGTCAGTTGCTGCGAAGGTCTTGCTTCGTGGGCCGATTGATGATGGAGATGTTGGACAGGCGATGGGACGGGTCACGACCGGGTTCAAGTGGATTAACCTTTCACCTTTATTGGGAAGATTGGGGACATTCCACTAAACCAGAAGAGATGAACAGTTCGGTTAGTGATCTCATATTTGTCCAGGGAAACTTAAACTTAAACACTTGTTTGATGATTGTTGCTCATGTAAGGCAGCACAGCAGCAATTTTTGGAACACTTCCTGGCCCATCGATACCTTCCTCTACCTCCGCTTATGTGCATGTCAAGAACGACGCCGCACCCAGCACACAAGCACGGATGCACCGCAGACCACAAAGTTGAACAAGCAAGTCTTCCATCGCAGAGAGTTCTCTCAAGAACGGATAACCATGCCTGAAAATGTTGATGCATGTTGTTATTAACGTATACAATATCAATTAATATAATATGATGTAATGTGTCAATATTGATTTGAATGTATATAAGTATAACATATATAAGTATAGAACATAACACAATTGTTGTATCCTGTTGTATGCATTTCCCACAGGCTCATGTTGCTGATAATATGTTTGCATTCATCTCATCAAAGGATCGCAGACCACCCAGATAGGTAGCAGAATTCAATTATGGTAGGAACAAGACTCCCAACCATCTCCCCAAATGATCCACCTTCAAAGGAAGAAACCTATATTAATATATACATAGCATCATACATAATAAATCAATCACTCATCACCACTCTTGCTTGCCGCATGAGTTCTTCTTCCCTCACCTGACTGCTCTCCCAGGTACGAGAACCTGATCCCTTTGATGCTGCCCGTGGCGGACCTGGTGAAACGCTCCGATCCCGAAGGCCAGCCGAGCCGCGAGGCACCTTTGGTCGGATTCATCATGGCCACCATGAGAAGATGGCCAAGACAAAGGATCAGAACCAGGCTTCCACTTCCCAAGCAACATGGTGAAGTTCAATTGGGGTCAGCTCGATGTTTTTCATGGTGGAGTGTTCTTTGGACCATGGAGCATCACCACTGTATGGAACAGCTCTTTTGTTTTGTGGTTTGGATGCCACCTCATGAAGGCGTGAAAGGTTCAGCCACCCTAGCAGTGGCAGATGGCAGATAACCTCCGTATATTCGATGGACTTTCTGGGGCTTGGGATTTGAGATCCCTTTAATCGAATGTTTTCAAGGTTCGATATGCACTGTCTTTGGTTTTGTGGATGTTTGTTGTCCTTCTTCAGTTGGTACTCATAAGGCCATCCTGATCGGTTGCGACGGAGAACAGCGGTCTAATTGAGCTTTTCTCACCAATCCCTCTGTTTGGACGGGCTTCATCACGGCGCTTCACAAAGCGAGCGTGTTGGGGGAGGGGCATGATGGAAACACAACACAAACAGAAACGACAAAGCATACCTGGACCCTCCTGTCGGGGTGTCCTGGCTAGACTACCCCACACTTCCTATAGGCTTCCAAACAGGGCACCCCGACAGGAGGGTCCTGCTAGGGCATGCCGAAGATATTTTTCTCGTTTCCACGTGACGACTCTCGCGGATTGAGGTCGGAAGGAGAGCGAGTAGTCTGGTTGTTCAGACGGGTCACATCAGATCTGCACGAAGGGAGCAACCTGAAAACGACCCGATACCTCATGAGTACCCAGTTCGTGGCTTCTGAATGTCCATGCCATGCCAGGCCCTGATGCCTATGATGCGGAAGTGGTACAGGTGAGGGGTAACGACCGAACCGTGGCGAGTCTGTGGAGTTGTTTGATTGTCGAGGTCTCTCAGGTACTCTATCATGAAGCGTGGGAAAGATATGCAAAGTCATGTCAAATCGTCAAAAGACATGACCTATAGCATATATATATATTCCTTATAGTTCTTGGACTCAAATCATGTCTTTATGACGCTTTGGTGTGTGTGTATGTGTTTTTCGTGTGTGTTCTTCATTTGCAGATTTGGTGTGCTCAAGGGATCCAAACATCTCCAAACCATATAGCAACGGCCACCGACCACCCGCCGCCACCGACCATGTGATGCGGCGGTGAACGGGGGAGCGACGCACCCCCGCGTTGGCGGCAGAGCGACGTAGGGCCTTCGGCGCCGAACCGCCGAAGGCCCCCAAAACCAAGCTGTGACCATAGGTGGTTGGTGGTGGAAGAGTGACATGCTTTGAAGTTTGGACGTGCCTTGTTGATGTTTTCTTTTTTTTCAACCACCAAGCACGACGCTCAAAGAAGATGATTATTAATAGGTTTTAGAGGCAAGATGATATAGCTACTTGACGACAATCAATCGGAACTGTTTTTGCGGCATGTATATAATTTCCAAATCTTCGATGTTGTCAGCCCTGGATGGGCTGGAATCGAATGGCAGGAGAGACTATTAATCCTTCTGCATGCTTGGACTACCTGGTATAGGACTATAGATCTCTTGCATGCTAGAGCCCTGTGACTCCCGGAACACACGCCGGACTGCGTGTGGAGTACACGATGTGTTTGTTTCCTCCCTCCCCTATATAGGAATCCAATCCCTCCCCTACCTCAAAAATGACCCTTCTGGCTCCTTTTGGGGGGGGTCATCGTTGAAATCACTGGATACTGCCTTACTAAGGGAAACGACGCTTCACGTGGATGATCTATGCCCCCAGCAGAATGGGTTTACATCTTCATATATGGCTAGCCAGAGCTTCTTTGCCTTGAATGGTGCCCTGAAGGGATTGTTTTTTGACAAAACCACAGGTCACCTGCCTCCTATACCACGGCCCTACGGCCAAATTGGTACTCAAAACCCTAGACTTGGCCCGAACTTGGCCCCCTGCTACCTGCGGCTCTTCAAAAAAAGACAAAACTCAGACATTAGGGAGTGAGGGAATCTCTATTGGGAGCTCATTTCCTTATTCCCTACTGAACGCGCACCCGTCCCAGGAGTGGTTTGACAGCTACTTGCGGCTGACCTATGGCGAGGACTGGTCCATTCCTCTCTCAACACCGCTGCGAGTCGGATGTGGAAGCTTCCGACCACCGGACGCCCCACGCGAACGAGACGGACGTGCGGGTTCGCAGGACAGCCTCCGCTACAGCATGATCTGCCAGGCTGGAGGGTCGCGGCGGGCGCAAGATGGGATCAAAGGGCTGACAAAAGGCTTTTGGCCTCGGAGACTGCTTGACATGAAGCCAAAGTTTGATTGGGGCTCCAAATGAATTCCGTCTCAGACATTCCTTCAGAACCTCCTGGCGCCCCAGTCCCACGGAAGCTCTATGAAACGAGCCCTTGTCAGGGAAATGGAATCATACCCTGACACTGAAGATCTTTTCGATGTGAATTTTGGATAATTTGGATGTTTCGCCTCAGATAAAGATAAAGGTTCCACAACAAAGCCCACGTTGGTGCCAGACGTTGGTGTGGTGTGTTTACCTGGAGTTTGGTCCAGGGATCGTGGCAAGTGGGGTTTATTATCCCGTTCTGGCTCCAGCCACATCCACATCCTCAGAAGGTAGTTAGACCACCAACCACCTTCAGGCCAGGAGTTCATTGGGCACACCTTGTATGTTTGAATACAGATGAATACAGTCCCTGGTCTTGAAGGGCTCTCATGGACTTGCCTCCAGTCATCCTATAGAAACATCGTGGTGTTTCAAAGATGGAAGATGGTCATGCTGAGCCATGCTGAGTCGTTGCACCTTTGAGGTGTCAGCATCAGAAAAAAAAATACCTCTACTTGAAGCCTCTTTGCTGCGTTTTTTGACTGTTTAACCAGGACAGGAGTCATCCCCCCCTTTGCCACACCCTGAGTAGAACACCCTGAGTTTAGATCTACCAAACACCGGTCCCCATATTCGGGGCCTCAGGCGCGGAGCATGTCGCGGGTGGTCTTCCTCTTCGAGGGCTTGGAAGATGCCGAGAAGCTGACCAAGGCGCAGAAGAATCTCCGGGCGAGGTCCGAACCGGAGCAGAGCTCAGTGCGGATGCGGAGCTGTGGGGCTGCGGAGCTGTGGCAGCGCACCCAAAAACCATGACAATGACAGTATAATGCGTCAACCAAGGTGGTCAGATGGTGGTATTACGTCCGATGGTTGTGACCCGAGATGTTGAGAAATCAACCTGCAGCAGCCTAGCTGCGATCCGTGCTGCCTTAACCCTTAGTTTTCTGTTTTCGGGTGATTTGGATTTGCCGGTTCCTGTGCGAAACCCCTCTAAAAATCTCAAAAAAAACACAAACAACACAAACCCTCAAATCCAAAGGGCCTCACGATCACTCTAACCATCACACCCAACCATCGCCTCCTCCTTGTCCTTCAAAGAATTCTATTTGTTCCATGGAAAATGGGCTCCTGAACCCAAATCCTGGAATGAGTACTGATTTTTGTCTTATACATGAGAAACATCCTATACTTACTCCTATACTTACTCCATCTTACTGTTCTTCGTCAAAATCCGAACGGCGCGTGGAGGCAGTGGAAAGTCTGATCCGCGTCCTGGTGCGGGCGAAGAACCTCGTGGTGCGGCGCTCGTTTTGTTTCTTCACGCGTGTGGCGCGCGGGGGTGTGGCGGCGTTTGTTTGGTGGCTGCCTGTCCGGGCGGCGTGATATAGAGATGGTTTGGAGTGAGGGATTCTGAAAGGGGACTCTGGTCATAGGCCCCTGAACAGATGTGAATGTATGTGAATGTTACGAATTTTACACGACCAGTGCTTAATTCATCTTAATTCCATGTGATTGGACCCCCAATGCACACGTTTTGAGTGGTGTACGTGAGACGGCTGTTCCACTTCCAAAAGTGGAAGTGTACTTTGTAGAAGTTGCTGATCCAAGAGAAGTACATTGGAAGAACTTTCCAACGCCTTTTTTCCCCACTTCCCCTCACCATCGTCCACCATCTCTTCCTCCATCGCTCTGAACCCCGCTTCGACCGGGCGTCAACGGCGTCAACCGCACAGGTGGTGACCTCTCGTCCATTACTGAGTGGCAGAACCTCGCTCGAGGCTCACTGCTTTCGGCACGCGGAGACCGGTCAAGGGGGGCCATCACACTCTGGTGCTGGTGAGCTGCTGGTGAGGTGGTGAGCGTTTCTGTGTTGGAAGTGGTTTTTCAAGGTGTTGGTGAGGAAGTAGTTTTTGTTTGGTTTTGTGTTGTACTTCTTTCTTCGGCACTCTAGGCAAGGCACAATCATGGTGCCGTTTTATTTTAGGAAGCGTTTCTTGGGTTGTTCTAGATGTTGGAGGACACCTGGAAACACAAGGAAGGCAGCAACATAGAGCAAGAGCCTGGAAGAGGAGTTCTTGGACTCTCGTTACTGGCCCTGCCTGGCCCGCACGTTCGTGGGAGAGACGTAAACCTTTTGTTCTACACTTCAACATACTTCGATTCACTATAACATGGAAGTCAAAACAATGAAACCGGTGGTACCAGCACTCATGACCGATTTCGGGCGTTCCATATTTTTGGCACCTGATATTTCGAGGTGATTCGGGCTGTCCAACGACGCCGCTACCTGGGGGTTCAGGTATAAACTGGACTGTCCGACGTAGCACGACGAGGAACAAACATCAAACGTCCCCAACTGATCGGATGTCATATGCCAGTCCCATTCGGTCGTGTCTGGGACTGGTTTAAGTCTGGTTTTGACGGAGCGTTCCTGAGAGACGGAGCTTAAAACTGGTTAAACCAGTCGAGTCCACAAGATTGATCTGGTCGGATTCGAGCAACTGCCGTAACTTGGGTGGTCACTCTCGTGACCCACCTATGTACAATTCACGAGTGACCCACCGGTTGAGGGTGCGACCATGAACATCCTCTCCGAACTGGGTGAAAGGAACACCCGAAGCGAGTCCCGTATCATCCCGTATCAATTTGGAGATCGACAAACACACTCACCATTGTATCGTTACAAAGTCTTTGGTTCAGAAAAGATTACCATAGGAGCTCCTTTGATAAGGACACCAATTTTCGCCTGGGCCTCGCCATCGAAGTCAGCCCGATGCGTGTGGCGTTGACGCCCTGCCGTGGCCGGCCACGCAGAACGAGTCCGAGCTGATGCTCACGATGCGCCTCGAGAACTTGTCGGATGAGCAGAAGAGGATGGCCGGAAGCCCTGGGAAAAGCATTTCTTGCATTCGTCCAGTGGTAAAAGCAGGGTAGCTTGCATGTGTAGCCAGTGCAAGGGGTCCAAGCACCAAGCATAGTCTGTAATTACGACCTCATTCAGATATGACACTCCCATGGGACTGTCATAGGACTGCCGATCAGTTGACCCCTCTGGCACCACCCCAATGAGGTAAATATGCAATACATGGAGTGTCTGGGTTTGACTGGACACCGTGACAATGAGTGGAGTTCCGCTTCTCTGGTCAGCAGATGCTTCTCGCGTCTCACATCTATCGCTGGTGCAGCATGTAAAAGAACATCTATAACCATGGCAGAAACTGGGGTGCAAACTCCTATACCCATATGCTCCATGGGACTGGCACCACCACCATAGCAGTCCTATGGCAGTCCCATGGACCGTCGTGTCTGGGATATGATGGATATGGCAGTCCCATGCCACTCTTCGGATCTCGGATGTTTCCCCAAGCTGAGCCCAAGCTGAGCCCGACGGGGGTGCGACTCCTCGGTGCGAAGGTGGCCTATGCGCGCCTGGGAGCTGCTGGCATCATCGCCTATGACAACCTCCTCGCCAGGCGTTGGACACACACACACACACCATCACACACCAGGACCTGACATATGTGTGACCTCTTAAGGAGTCTCAGTCAGCCTTTCGCCTCGCCACATCGATCGGGTCCGGCCACAGGGATGGTCAGCTCAGGGCAAAGTCCGGGCACACGCACACGCGTTTGTTGCTCCATTGCCGGTCCGCCGTGGGTGAAAGACGGCGCACGCGAGGGCCTGTTCTTCCGTCACAAGGCTTCGTTCGGAGGTGAAGGCGACGAAAGGGTGCCTTCCTAAGTAGGGGCCAGACCCTTATGTAGAGGGGTTTGGACCCTCAACCCATGTGATAGGGGAATCAATGGCAAGTAGAGGCAGGCTGAGGTGATACAGAAAATCACTGAAAGTCTTTGTCTAGGCATGTCTGACGCTACACCTCCCTTCGCCCATGCAGGCTGCGGATGTCTCAAAACGTCAGCGACCAGGCTTGGGCGCAAGATGTTCCATGGTGAGGAAGTTTGAGAACAAAAGAGACATTTCAAGATGGTTTTTTCGAATCCCAACTGGACACTTTGCATGATCTTGTTTTGGCAAGAAGAGCTGTTCGAAGCTGGGTCTGGGGCGGTTTACGAGATGGAACGGAATCACAGCCACGGTAACATGTTTACTTTTGTGTGTGCTTTTGATCCTGTAAACAAAGCTTAAGAGTGTTAACTGTGAGGTTTTGTAAGGTTTTGTAGCCAGGTGTTGAAGTCTGATGTTCCTTGCTTGCTCTTAGTCATTTGGCTCGGCCCCGGAAGCGTCACCGGAGACCGGGGACCGGTGACCGCGCGTTCTTTCTTTTTCGGTGCTCGTCTTGCCATCGTCTTCCGCAAAACGAGCAAACCCTAGGGCCCTAGGGCTCCTGGCCCATCTCCGTTTCGAAGATGGGACAGGGGTGGGTGCCCGGGGGGTCGAATACCACCGAACCTGAGGATATGGGCCAGGAGCCCTAGGGAGTAATCCCAGAATTAGTTTGAGGGACAATCTACAGCAAACCCTTGCCTTTACGATCATATGGCACCATGTACCCAGCACGATGTTCCTTTGAAATCCTTTGCCTCAGGCACGATGCATTCCCTAGCATCACTGGGACTTCTTAACATGATCAGGCTGGAGGCGTAGAGAATCCTCAAACCAACTTGGTATGTGTGCTCCAAAGAATTCAGAACTGTGATTCAGACTTCGGTGTTATGACTGAAGGGGTCACGCCCAGATTCCAATCTGTGGCATTGATAACAGCTGGTACTCGTAACAACCGGCCAAGCCGCTTGATTTGGCAGGGCGATGAAGCTTCAAACGACGGGGCGGAGGAGCAGCCGCAGTTCGAGAAATGATGCAGTGTCCATTGAAGATCAAAGACATGCAGAAACACATCATTGCTCAGGTCCTGAATTCTTTGGAAATGATCACGTGGTGGCATGATGTGGCATGTAGTGATGTTGGAGGTTGTGTTTCCAAACTTGTTTAAGTATAAGCAAGGTACGGAAACAACCTGTTAACACCAAAAAAGCACATCAAACAACCAGAAAAAGAAGCTGATCAAGCTTCGTTTTCGAACAGCTCCTTAAAGGATGCTCAGGTGTGTGGGCCGTCCCTTTTCAGAACCCGAATTCGTTCGTTCGAGCCGTGGGTTTCGAGTCCCAAACGGAGGTCACTGACACCTCGGACTGGTTTTGACCCACACGCCGTGGGTGGTCAGCGCGGCCGTCCGCACGGAGGACGTCTTCGGCAATCCGATGATGCTTAGTATGCTGCTCTGCTACCTGCAGACCATGGGGCGCAAAAGCCCAGGGCCTCAGAAAGAGCGGGGGCCGTTGGTCGACCGAAGGGACGGGGCTCGGAGAACGGGATGGCAGCTGCGACCTCCCAAGGTGTTTGTGGCTTGAGGAATCGTTCTTTGGACGACACGGGATGGCACAGGTCCGGACTTGGCCCCTTGCGGGCCTGACCTGGTTCCTCTGAGGTGCGGAAGAGTTGGAAGCCGATGTGGATGAGCTGAAGGAGGAGAGGTCAGGGCTACTGTACTTGCTAAAGGAACACGAATCAATGCGAATCAAATCGAATATAGATGCTCACTACGAGGGTATGGTCAACCTTCAGCGGATGAGTGAATATGAAACCTACTAGTACAAAGAAAATCATGCGCAAAAGCGACAAGTCGTTGTCGTAATCTTGGATACTTTGAGGATCTTTGAGGCTTTGTTGCGTACATCTTCGTCTTCGTGCACATCTGTACATCTTGCTGTCAGGGATTTGGTGCCCACTCTCAGTACCCAGCTAGACATACCCAAATCTGAATGTGTCTCAAGCTTATGAGGTCTCTCCGAGCGGCCCCTTTCCTCCAGTATCGAGGGATGTGGCCTGTCGACGTTAGGGTTTTCCCCAGCTGCAAGACTCCCCATGCCGAGGACCACTTTGGAACCCAGTGGGTTGTAGAGGCACCGGAATGGTCCTTCCAAGAAGGATTCTCATGTCCCATGTTAATCTGGGGAGTATACCACCCAGACACGACCTGTCTAAAACTGCCAGGACATATATGGCCGCCCCAGACCCCCCAAACTCAACCACCCCTGGCCGTTTTGAAGGCAGTCGGCAGTCCTATGGAGTCGTGTTGGGGCGGACCTTCTGCTGGTTGGGGTGGATGGTCGACCGAGTCTCGGTGGGACCAAGCAAGACACAGAGCCCCAGCAGCTGCTGCTTAGAGCCCCAAAGCAGACAGGATGGCGCCGACTCGGGACGGTGGAGGTGTTTTTGCGGACGATTGATGGATCCAATACAGGACAACATGGCTCCCGACTCGGGAAGCCTTGATATCATTTAATATATATAGGATCATATGAGGATCATATATGTTCAAAATTCCATCTCTTGAAACATAAACCAAAATATAATTAGATTAGTAACATCAAACCTTCCATCTCTATCTGTTCTATGCGGATAGCATGCGTGCGCCAGTTTACACACCTAAGTCCAATCACAGCTGACTTTGGGATTGGTCGAGGTTATTTTTGTATTTCTTGCTTCTATTAGTAGAAGTCGAAGTGCACTGGGCAGAAATCAGACATCTCAATTTTCCGTCAGCGGTCTACTATTCATTCATTTTACAGATTGCGGGATGGTTACAAAGTCACAAAAGGCAAAAACATATATGGCAGCCAAATGTGTATCTCATATATATATATATATAGAGCACGTCACCAAAACCACACACGCCACTCCACGAATCAAAACCACATCTCCCAAACTAAAAAATACACATCCCCAAAAACACATCTCCAGAAGTCCCACAGCAAACAAAACCAAACAAAAAACAAAAAAAACAACACAACGACCGTCCTACCCTACATTGGAGAAGCCGAAGAGCCGCTTCGCGTCGCTTCGCGCCCAACGCCACGCCGCCGTCGAGGAGTCTGAAGAGACCACGCTCACGGCCGTGTACCGCGTGGCCGTCGATGCGCCTTGGCCCCGCAAAGCCCAGCTACCACGCGTCACGACCGTGCGGTCTCGTGCGGTGGAAGGGGCTCCTGGCCCACCTCCGTTTCGAAGATGGGACGGGGTGGGTGGATTTGGGGGGTCGAATACCACCGAACCTGAGGATATGGGCCAGGAGCCTTAGGGATAGATGGATCATCACGGGTGGAACATCACAGGAAAGAGATACCGACCCATAACCAAATCGCTTCCAGAATCAGACACCCGCGGTGTCGAATGTGTCAAAATCAGTGCTGATTTGTGCTGGTGTCTTGTTCTTAAATCAGACTCCGGGGGGGCTGAATTTGTAAAGATCTTGCAATTTTGTAGGGATCCAGTCGTACCTTCTCAGAAGGTACTTGGCTCCAAAGCTACATAACAGTGTCTCCAATCACCTTCTGTGAGGGTACTTGGATCCCTATAGGGATTTGGTGCGCTGACAGTGGGTGCCATGAATTTGGGTACACAAGTCCTGCATGTTAAGACTTGTTGGTTTGCCCTTTCTACGCTGGGTGCTCCGACTGTGTGCACAACACTCGGAGGGTGTTTCGATTTTTGTTTCCCATGATGCTGGATGTTCAAACAATCACAAACATCTCAATTTTCCACTTGGCTTGGACACCGCCCCACAACCGGTGTTCATCTGGCACCCCAGGGGTAAGCCAGTATGGAATGAGCACCTTGACACGCAGCAGGCAGCAACCTGGTTGGGCACTCCGAGCTCTCACAGCGATGAGGGAAATGGTGAAAGGCTTCAAATTCCTTGGATGGGTGAAAGGGAACATCAACAGAGGAAACCATGGCAACATCACAACAACTGCACAACTCTTATATAAACTACGTATATACTGCATATACTGTATAATACTATAAAATATACTATATAATAATATAGTAATATGTAGCAGATGTTCAAAACAATCCAGCCCATTCCTACCACTCGTTGGCAGTCCGGTCCTGAATCACCTACCGCGTTGGACCAGGTAATGCTCCAGCGAGTCCAGAGCAGGACCCAGGGCGATCGGCTCTTGATCCAGGACGGAAGACCAGGGGTGGCGGGCAGAGCCCGGTGAGGGGTGAGCCCGGTGAGGGGGGGGTGTATCTGTGAGGTGAGCCCTGGGAGCCCTTTGCGAACTGGCAGTGGCTGGGCCTTGTTGAACTCATGTTCCTTTGAGCTTTAAAAAGACCTTAAAGAGACCTCTTCATCCCGGTGTTTCTTTCTCTTGAGCCTTGGTGCAGCAGAGACGCTGCTGCAACGCCCCGACCTAGAACTTTCGGGACCAGACGGGTGCAAAAGACGTATATTTACCAAGAGAGGTTAAGTGACCTTATAGGACCCTACTGGGGTACCTATGGGATAGTCTATAGGGTCACTTAACCTCTCTTGGTACATATACTTCGAAGCCTTCGAAAGCGTCCACTGTGCCAACATACGTGGCGAGAAAACAAGACGTTGTGGCAGGAGAGGGTCGACCAGTCGAAGCAGATCATGCAGAAAATGGCCATGGCAGCTTGGATGAGAAAGCTGTCGGGTTTGATCATGAAGATGGGCAAGAAACAAATAAAACCTCTCCAAACATGGTGAACATTCAGAAGACTTCCAGAAGAGACAGATTCAACACATGAAAAATGTTGTCATGTTGTTTGGACCTGGCGAGGCGATGCAGACGAAACGGCAGCTGGAGATCCGAGTGGAAGAGGCTCGAAGAAGATGGGCATGGGGGACTCGACAAGTGGGGTCCAAACTGGGAGGTCATAGATACCCTGAAGCCCCCTGAAGCCAACCCGATCGTATCTTGGCAAATGGGTACAGGTATATACTTATAATTCCTTGATGGGGTCACGTCCCATATGTTCGAACATGGTGTTTGAAGTCGGGTCCAGATGTGTTGGCTTTTCCTCTTGGAAACCCGCGTCGTCCCACTGCTGGAAGATCTACCATTACTCCTGCCGTCTCCTTTCTGGGTTTCGCCCAACTCTACAGGTCTCCGAAATGGAGGCTTTTGTAGAAAAAGTCGCAGGTTTGTCTGCCCTGTGAAGTCGGGTCCTGGTAAGTTTTCATCACGTGACCCGCTCCGAGTCTCCCAATCCCCCGAGACCCACCGTCTCGGGTGCCCATCTTTCTGTGCTCTTTCCGCGCGAGGTGGATGGCTTGTTGAAGCCGGAGCTCGCAGAGGTTTGGACCGCCTTGAAGTCGGCCGTCTCTGCAGGCCCACCCGGGTGTCTCGATTGGCTCGGCTCGGATCCACGAAGCCAAACGGGGAAAAGGCGGGAACCGGGATGCAGAAGCCAACTGTCCCTAGGGCTCCTGGCCTGCCTCCTGAGAAGGTGGTTGGGGTGGGTGCCAGGGGGGTCTAACCACCGAACCTGAGGAGATGGTTAGAGCTCTAGGGTGTACTAGACACGTCCCCAACTGATGAATCCCGATCAGTTGGGGTGGTGCCAGAGGGGTCAACTGATCGGCATACAGACATGGGGTGTTTGGGAACTGTACAGGGACTCAGCCCCTACTGCACATTCATCGGATTATCACCGCCTGAAGGCCTGAAGTCATGGCCAAATCTTTGAGGCATTCAAGCACTCTTGAAGGGTCTTGTTGGCGCATTTGTATCACAGCCCCACTCCACCCACTTCACGCAATCTATCTAAAACATTCTAAAACTTTTTACTTAGGCCACACCACTGCACCAATGCCTATGTGTCCCACCACTTGTAACAGTCGGGACAAATATGATGGCTTATTCTTGAGAATGGTTTGCAACCTGTCATCATCCACTGGGCCCTGGGAATGGGATATACCTAATAGACCTCACCAATGCCACACTCCAGCACTTCCATGGCAGTGAGTGGTGTTGATGGTAGACTGAGACTGATACAGTGATTGGATGTAAGAGGGGCACCAGGCACCCCGACTTCCTCCAACTCCATGGAAACTGCTGCCTCTTTACAGTTGCTTGTGTTAACTGCTGCTATATTGAGCAGTGTTGAGCTGAGGTACAAACAGAGACTCCAGGTAGTTACCACACCAACCGCGCCAGTGTGCCACACGTTTTCTCTTCTCGGCCGTGGACTCGCCTCCGCCCCAGGCCATGCGATGTTCCTGCGGATGACCGGTGAAGCCGGGCCTCGTGAGGAGCTGCGCTTCCTGGTGAAGGCGCGGTGAAAGCCCAGAGGTCGTGGGAAGGGGATGAAGATACACGGTGTAGGTGTTTCCAAGATTCCCAGCTATTTGCTTGCCATCTGAGTTGGGTGCTTCTGTTCAAACGGTGGTGTGCGATTTCGCTGAGGGTTTCTTACAGGGGCTAAGGATGGCTAAGGATGGGTTTGATGCTGAGAGTTCTTCAAGCGTCGCTGGCCATGAGATATCCAGTGGTTCCATATGAGGGTGCCTACTGGAGGAGAGGGGTGCCCACTA